CTGATGGAAAATTACAGATTTTTGAGAAGCTTTACTAAATTGCATACTTTTTGTTATTCTGTAATTAAATTTTTTTAAGTTTTGATATTTTTCTCTTTACTCTGAAAAGTTCCTACTAATCAATGATCAAAAATTGGGAAAGGTTGCTGAAAATTTACTGTGAAATTTATTCTGTGTAAAATGTAAATTTTTGTTATAATTATGAATTTATACATTCAATGTGATAATATATTTTAGATTTTGAAGTACTCGCAACAATGCAATCTACATTTACAAAGAAAAGCCCGCAAATTATTTGTCTAGTACATAATCACACAATAATGCTGCAAAGCTTCCTAAAAAACTAAAATTTTACAAAAAAAAACAAGTGAAAATGAAATACAAAGCTTCAGTTTGTTTTTGATAGTCATAAAACTGCAAGTACACTTTTTGGAATACATGTGAAATGTGAAAGGAAGCCTACTTCCTCTCATATGATGGGCAGTCTACTTCCTAGTACATAGGACATTGTCATGATTTTGCTCTGTAACTTTTATTAATTTCATTTTTATTGATATTGACCAAAAAAAGCAATAAGTTAAAATTTTTCATATATCATATACTGTAGTGTTTGATATATATATAATTTCTATAAAACAAATCTTTTGAGTACAGTTTTCTGATCAGCTAGGTATGATTTAAATTCAATTTGTAAAAGATTACTAAGGAAGAATCAAAAATGTATTTATGCCAATTGATTTCCAGTTATTTACAAATACAAATTCAAAAATTTTATTTCTAAGTAAAGTAATAAAAAAAATTAATGAAAATTGGTTCTGTTCATTTATCAGTTTTTTAGATAAAAAGTAATAAAAATTTCATATATTGTAAAAATTAGAATAATAGTAGAATTATGAAGTTTGCAGTGTAAGATAGACAAACTTGTCAATTTTCTAGCAAAAAAGTTTCAAGACTATTTATTGTATAAAAGAAATTATTGCAATAAACATTAAGGTAAAAAAAATTTCTCAGATTTGTGGAATTTGACAGAATAATAAATTTGTGTGGTTCATAGAACAGAGTTAACTAATCAGCTGTCAAAATAACAAGCCAGAATGAAATGTTCCTGTAATAATGGGTAGATAAATATTAGTTATGTGCTGGATCATTAAAACTGTATATCCGTAGACATGGATACAGATAAGGATCGTTAGTGTCTAGATCCGCGGATACAGATTTCAACTTTCATACTTTAGTGCCCTTGCTTGTGAACTTGGATCGATGGTTGACGTTTTGCATTAGTAACGCGACGTGTTTTGACTTGCACTGCACGTGTTTTTGTTTATAGTTTAGTGTGACATGGGATAGCATAGATTACATTTGTATCTTTGGAGAGTGTTGAGTTAAATTGAAATAAAAACAATGTCATCAAAAAGTTTAGTATTGTAATATGGAAATATTTTATGATAGTAAATGAATTTTGCATGATAAAATTTTTGCAATACGAATGTGCCAAATATGTGATTTTAAGAAATAAAAAGTGATTTGATTTTAATTTAAGTTATTAGTATTTTATTGCTACCTATCTTTAAAATTTCCTATAAGTAATGAAATTCGTTAAGATAAAAGATTCACTAAAAAGTAACAGATATGGATACGGATAATTTTTTCCCCTCAGATATCTGGCACGTCACTAATAAATATTGCAATGCGGTGACCAAAGCCAAAAGTGACAAAATGAATGGCAAAATTTTTTTTAGTTTTCAGAGGAATCACTGAGTAATAGTCTATTAATTAATGCAGTTGTCAATTTTTTTCCAAAGATGTTTTGCAGTCATCTATGAAACAACTTTTTTCTGTTTATGTAAGTTTACCTTTAGACATGGGAAATATTTTTGCACCATTGTTTTGGCAAGGAGAGTCAATACTGAAACATACTGAATACTGAACAAATATTGAAACATATCACAAACACACTTTAAACAACCTTTAAAGTATGTTTGTGATATGTTTCAGTATTAAGAAGGTAATTTTAGGGAGAGTCAAATTACTCAGAGTTAACTGTATAATCCTATGGCTTTTTTTTTTTGTAGGCTTTGTAATTCTGTTACCCTTTTGTTTCCTGAAATTGTAGTCTTCGATACTGAATTTTTCATTCCTGGATTCATAACCGTTGTTATAACAAATTGTTTTTGATATTGCATGCAAAAATGGAGTGTAAGAAAGATGGTGAAGGATTACTTCACAAGAAACAATATAGATTGCAATCATTAATATAAAGATATAGAAAGCTCTTATCTGTAGCAAAAACCATTATGTTAATAAAATTTTCAGAACAGGAGGTAATGGTTGATTTTCTTCAGTCCAGAATTTTAAAGCATTTTGAAATTGTAAAGTTAATTACTGACTATTTACTTTGGTAAGCGATACCTTCTAATTGAGTCAATATTGTTTATGTTTAATTCTTTAATCAGATTGCTCCTGCATCTCTATTTGGCCTATTTCTTACAACACTTTGCAACAGTGCCTTCTTTAATCCAAAAGATAATTTAATCCTTCCTATTTAAATGGTAAATTTAACTCTAAATTTTCTGTGAGTTAAATGCATTGGTGCAGATGGCCATAATGGTTGCAATTGATATTTCCATGTATAGTGTCAAGTGTGTTTTTATTCCAGGGGATTAATGTCAAGTTATTTGTGTGCCAAATGAAACTTCCAACATGTTAATGATATGCCACAAATAACTTGAGAATAGGTACAGGTATTCTACTACTTAAAAACAGATTAGGTTTCCAAGATATTTTCATAAGTTAAACATACTCTCCAGATTATTTTTATGTGCACAATAATTGTATTGTTAGTGTTTGATTTTTTTAATATACTGAAAATATGCTCATTTACCCACTTGCTACTGCTTAGTAGCAGATGTTTCAAACATGGTTTATTTCCACCTAATACACTTAGTTTTATAATAAAGTTTCTGGTCTATGGTAGTAGAGTGATGCTTATTATATTTATCTCCACTGCTAGATTTACTGTTATGTTTTGGACACATTTTTGAAGCACTAATTGTAAATTTTTATAAAAATTGCAAACAATAGTGATAAATGCTATTATTCTGACATTAATAATTTCAACACCACCTCACCAGCTGTGATCAGAATTTGTACAAAAATAAAAAAATCACAATATGCAATAGAAATAAATCCACATTAATTATTTATTAAAAATTTATTATTTATTACTGGTCAAAGACTGATTTTAATGCCATCCCATAACTGGCAAGAGAATTTAAGATTCCATGCAAAATTTAAATTTTATACATACAGTCAAATTGTTCTTAAGAAGGGAAGCTCCTGTACTATTATAGAACTAAACCCATTGGAATTGGTCTGTTGTTTCTGAAAATATTGTGAATTGTCTATTTGGACATAACTTATTTATAGGACTTTATACCGGTGTATTGGTTATCGACACAAAGATGAGTTCAGAATCAGAAAAAATTCTTTATCATCTGTAATAATTTTTCTGTGTTGTTTCTGAAGTTTGTTATGTCAGAGTCTGTAAAATTTAGGTCAACAATACTTGAAAAAAAAGTTTCTTAAATTATCCAAACTGTTTGTGAGATAGTAATCAGATCCTTACTATACACTGTATATGTAGAAAATTAAAATCTATAACCTGATTGATATTCTAAACCTGCCATGTCCAGCCCATGGGTCTTGTGCGGCCCACTCAATGTTTTTTTGTGGTCCTTTCAAAACAGTAATTATCTTGTGTAGATTGTTATTACAATAAAATATCATATGTATAGTTAAATACATTAATTGATGTATAACACCTTATCACCTACACTCAGAAATTAACACCGTTATTAAGTATTTTTTAATAAAGGTTAAAATGTATGAATGAAAATGACCAAATTGTTCATGAATTATATGATGGGCTGTGGCTTTTGGATTAATGTTTCCTTATGAATATTACAATGAAATTAAATGAACCTAATAAGCAGCTTCAAGGTAAAAACAAATTGATTACATACTGTTATCAAAATATAAAAGCATTCATAGCAAAACTCAACTTTACAAAAGTCAGTTAAAATTGAAAACTACAATCCATCTTCCAAAATTATGTTAATTTAATGGTGACAAAAAACATTTTTCTAAATATGTACAAGAAAATACTAATTTCAAGAGAGATTTTCATATTTGAAAATTTAAGAAAATATTAAATATATTCTCATATGTCCATTTGACATTGTTATGGAGCAAGCTCTAAGAAATTTGCAGATAGATTTAATAGATCTCCAGTCATCTTTTGAATTGAAATATATGTTTGAGACCAATGATAAAGTTCAGTTTATACAAAATACAGTAATGATAAGTTTCCTAACCTAAAAAAACTGGCGATGAGCATTACAGCTGCAATTGGAATCACCTAGCTTTATGAATTTTTTTTTCTCAAATTGAAGATTGTTAAATGTAAAAGTCGTAACAGATTTGTGATAAAATTAGAAAACCAACTATGTTGTAAAACATCACAAATACCTGTTGCTTTTCAGTTTTTTCACTTCATTTTTTAATATCAAGATTCACATTAAAATACATACAAAATACTGTATAATTGTATATGTTTTGTTGTAAATAAATGTGTGACTTACCAGTGTATTTTCATTCTTGGTTTTGTCCAGTAAACAATTTCAGCTGGACAACACTGTTCTAAACTATTATTTTTAAAAACTATCCTATACAAAAAATTAAATTACATATAATCTCATTAAAAAGTTGATCATGATTATTATATTTATTAATAGAAGTTTAGTTTTGTTTTGCAAATTTTTATTTCTGCAATTTGCTTTTAAAATTACACATATTCAATAATATAAAATTTCTATATGAAATAATAAAAAATATGATTTTTGTATTGTAATTAAATATTTTAGCATTTTATTAATCTGTTTTTAATAAGATCTCATAAGAAGTTACTTTCCATATTTAAGCTTATTTATTTTGTTTTATAGTCTTCAGAAGATGAATCGGGTGGAAATGAAATGATAGAAAAGAAAGAATCATTAAGTCCAAAAAAGGAAGAGAAACCATTAAAAGAAAATAATAAGAAGTCATCCATTAAAAAACAGAAAACTGATGATGAAGATGATAATACAAATGATGATGAGGAAGATGACAATGATAATGAGGATGCATCAGATAAAAATGCAGCTGATAAAAGTGAAGAGGAGGAGGAAGAAGAAAAAGATGAAGAACCAAAATGTAAGAATATATTTTTATTTGTTCGAAATTTTAATCTATGTACTTGTGTTTGTGCATAGCATAACATTCTACATACATATAAAGATAGCTACAATAGAATTGTCTGAGCTATCATTTCAGTCAAAATTATCTGACTATTCTCAAGGATAGATGATAGAAAAAAGAATGCATACACACTCGTTCTATCCAGCTAGCATAAGCCTTGACAAATGCAACAGAACATGCACTGTCGAATCAGGTTTTCACTTCAATGAAACAACAGAAGTGTTAATATAAAGCGGCATGCAAGATTTACAGGCAGTTTTTGCGGGAAATCGAACATATTTTTAGACTCGTGTAAAAATTCTCTAATTAGTCTGGAAACGGGGGACCTAATTCTTGCATTCTGTGTAAACGGGTAAGATTGGCTATAATGTAATTATCTTAATCTTCACTATCGTTACTTTTTGCCCAGCGAAGCGGGTCCTTGCAGCTAGATTCTAGATTACTTAGAAAAACAGTCTTTTATATATATATAAAAAAACTATATTACATACAAATAAAAACCCAGTGAAGTGGGTCCTTGCAGCTAGTTACAACAATAAAATTGCAATTTAAAATTTCAAACACTTAGCCCAATTAGGGAAAAGAATCTAGCAGAAGAAAGATCTTTAACCAGCACCAATCACTTGCAGCAGAAACAAAGGCTGGTTTACTATGTCAGTTTGACAACATTCTTTTATATATTGCTGATTTGCCTGCTACACAGGCTTACAAGGAATAAGGTTTTGCTTGTCTTACTGATATGTTAGGAAAACTGTGAATAATTTTCTATTTATATTTATAAAGATGGCTACAGTATTAAATTAATGGTATACAATTCCATTCTTTATTCATATTTTGCAAATGAAGCTCTAGCTGGAAAGTGTTGTAAAAATTCAATTCCCAAAACTCAAAATAACAAATAAAATTGAAAATCAATAATGTAAGTAAATAAAAACTGTAAAGCAAGAATTTTCTTTCTACCTCACAAAAATGACAGAATCTTGTATTTTTATTGTAATATTAAAAAAAATTTTAACATTAGATATCTTTTTTTGTATCTGATAATATCACATAAATGTTTAAAAATTAGTTTTATAATATTTTATATTGAATGTTTATTAATATTTTAATAACTTCTTATTTTAGTGGGACTTTTAGATCAACCTGTAGAGATATCTGGTTCTAGAGAGAGGAAAAAAGTACAACGTTTAGAAGTCAGCTTCACCACTCCTTCTAAAGAAAAGCATGAAATTCCAGAAGGAAATGGTGAAAAATTAGGAGATTGTCCAAGAAGTGAGTCTTACTTTGATATGAAATAAGCTTATAAAAAATTATTGAAAGAAAAATAAATTAAATTATTTGTATTTTAGTTGAATATCAAATTCAAAAAAGTAAAGTAGAAGAATTAAAAATATTACACAGAATTCTTTTCAACAGACCTGGTTCAGTAAGTATTATTATTTGTTTTTTAATTTTTAGTAGTATTGTATTTCTTCGAAAAAAATTTTATACATAATGTAAGTTTTATTTTTCAAAAGTAAAATAATCATTATGAATCTAAAGGGTAAATCTAGCAGTATATATAACATTTTGGAAACATTATTTATTTAAAATTTTTGAAGAATAAAATTTATTTCATACAAAGTAAAAATAATTATGCTTAATTCAAATAATTTAAGTGAACAAAATAAATTTTAAATTATGTAATAAATAAATTAAAGCAGTGAAAGAATGCTAAATAAACACTTACAGAACATATTATTCCTATTTACTGATATATAATGATTCAAAATTCATATGTGAAAAAAGATCCTGTGTTGTTCTGAATATTTATGAAAACCATAACATGGATATTTTCTGTAGTGTATGAACGTTTTTAGTTATGTTTATGAACTAACGTTTTTATGAATGTTATAGTTAGTTTTTGTCAACAGGTGGAGTCACTGTTTAGAGTGAAGGCTTGCATGACATAAAAAAAAAATTGATAAATAGAATGAGATACTATAATAGGGCATGCACTTTTCAAAAACTAATAGGCGACACCAGTATTGGGTTTATGGATTGATGGCTTCCTGTTTCATCTATTGTGCTGTGTATACAGTGTTTAAAAATTGCTTTTTTAGTTATTTAGATACTTTTGAAATGCCGGTTAATTGTTGCTTGCCTCAGTGCCAATGATTTTTAAAAAATCCAGGTTAGAAATTTAATAAATTTCCAAATGATCCAATAAGAAAAAAGAATGGAAAGTGAAGATAAAAACTGGAAAAAAATCAGTCGATACATTCAAATCTGTAGTAGGCAAAATTATAAGGAGAGTTAATTTTGAATAGTTTAGAGTAATAATACTCAACAAATGTAAATATATTTTTAGCTAAACAATTGAATGGAAGGTTATTAATCACACTTAGTATTATAATGGCCAATCATTTTAAACTTTTGAAATCTTAACAGTTTACATTTTAAGCACTAATAACACAATGCCAAGAAATAGTGAACTTTCAGAGGCTGAAATTCGAAATATGTATTACAGGGTACTGGGAAGTTTCAGAGAAATAGCTACAATAATTAATCATTCTAAAACTGCTGTGGCTAATGTATAGACCAGTGTTTCTCAACCTCTAACGAATCGTCGCCCCCTTCAACGTAGTATCGCCCCCTTCAATAAAACCGTTACCTATTATCGCCCCTTTCACTTCAAAATTCCGATGCCGAGGACCAAGACTAACGCCAAATTCGTACTGCATTGAATAGACTAGTTACTGGTATAATGTTATTTGTTTAATTATTGTACAATATAACGAATAAAATATCTAATTATTCTTAATATAGTGTTTTACTATATCGCCCAGAAAATTGTTTTTCGCCCCCCAAAATATAAATTGTTACTAATCGCCCCTCAACATGGAAAAACGCCCACATGGGGGCGATATCGCCCCCGTTGAGAAACACTGGTATAGACAAAACAAGAAAATTATGGAAAATGGAGAGAAGTGGATGCAAGAAAAAATTAACTGATAGAGATAAATGAAATGTTTTCTACTTTACAAAACAACAAAAAGCAGCTATCTACTAGACAGGTAGCTACTAATTTACTAAAATCTGTCCCATCAGATAATGTGGTGATGTGTTCATGATGATGATAACATAAAATATTGAAAAATGAAAGTGATGCCTGAATTTGATATTTGTTCACAAGCAAAAAATAGAGTTCAATAGGCTAAATCTGTCATGACTTGCACCAAGGAGTAGGAAAAAGTTGTGTTTTCTGATGAAAAAAGTAGAATTTAGATGAGCCAGATGGTTATGGATATTATTGTCATGATATGAAAAGAGAATCCAAAGTTAGAATGAGTAGTCAGTCAGAAGATGGCAGTAGTGTAATGGTTTGGGATACTTTTGGATTTAATGGGAAAACTGATATTGTCATTATTGATGAAAAATAGATTCTTCAAAATATCAGGATATGTTAAAAAATAATTTAATTGCATTTGGACTGTTAATTAGTAGAAGTAATTGAATATTTCAACGAGACAATACTCCATTCTATGCATCAACATCAATTAAGACCTGGTGTATTAATTAATTAATGAAAACGTTTTAAAAAAAGTATTAGACTTAACTTTTTAGAAGTCCAGATCTTAGTCCAACAGAAAATTTATAAAGCATAATAACAAAAATAATTTAGTCAAAACAAGCATTATCATAAAGTAAACCAGTTAAAATTACCAATTATGGATGCTTGAGAAAATACTGAAGTGTGAAACAATTGGAAAAATTGATTCAAACTATGCCTGATAGTATTTGGTGTTATTCAAATGAAAGGAGGTTTAACCAAATATTAAATATGAATTTTGCCAAAAATATGATGTCCTTATAATTATGTTACATTTTAATTTATGTTACATTGCAGTTAATTTCAAAATAGTTTAATGTTTGATGATAATTAAAATAATTTTAATGACAATGATTTTTAACATTGTTTTGTGTTTATTATTTTGTATCTAAAATTTCAAAAGTATATTACAAATTGAAGTTGAGTAATTAAAACTAAATTACAAGACTGAAAACGAAAGCCAACAACTAGAAAAGTGTCAGTTTATACTTATTATTTTAAGCTTGTGTATCTTTCTAAAAGTTCTGCCTGTATCCCTGTCGTCTTGTCCCCTAATTTGTTTAATTTCTTTTGTAATTCAGCAACTGTTACATCACATAAGTCTATGTTTTTTATAAGTAGATTAAAACTTCCTGTTCAGTTTCCACTGTGTACTCACTACTGGAAGATAAGTATAAATCAAGCTGACACTAGTGCTGCAAGTGATGAGATTAAATTGTACATGCCCCATTTTTTTACCTAAAAAGATGCAATGTGATTTTGAGTATTTATCTGAAGATTGCATGTGTTTAGGCTGAAAATTTACCAAGATATAAATTTTAGATTGCTCTGTACGTGAGTTTGACTCACAACACTGTAGTCCAGACAGAATTTGGTCACAAGTTAATTTTTTTCATAAATTAGAAATTTTATGTGAACTGTGTCTTTATTATTATAATGTAATATAAATTGATACAAAATTAATTTTTTTTTTGTTTGTTTAAAATAGTGTTTATGAATTATTAAGATTTCTTTTTATAATGAACATAGTTATCAAAGATTAACTGTAAATTGAGGAGCATCTGTAAATAAATAATCTGATACACAAATATTTATCTATCTGTTTAGCATACATGGTAATTGTCTTATTATTTAATTTGTATTTCAAACATTTATGATTTTAGATTGTATATCTAATGATTAAAAATTATTGTTAATCAGTGATGATCTAATATAAAACTGTTTGTATCATGCATATGTTACTTCATTCTAATTCTCTTCTCTTGTATGAATATAGATATTGTAAGTACTTAACATATTTGAAAAAAATATTTTTACTTTCCCAGCTGTTATACATAACAGAGGGAAAGTATGGTGATTGGTCAAAAAATGACACCCCAAGATTTTTTACATTTTATAACAGATGGTGCCACCAAAATTTTAAATCTTGCCAGGAAAGTGAGCAAACTCATTGTTGGTTTATTTAGAATTTATGATTTTAAGGTGTCCATTATACAATTAGCATAAACTAATGTTTAAGTTGATAATGAGTCTGGTAGAAATAACTCTTGCTTGCATAGATATAACAGAATTTAAGATAAAATTTTTTGAAAGAACCTTAAACAGTCAAAACTTTGGCAGCTAAAATATATTTTTTTTAAACTGTTTTTTTATACTGTTTTTTTTTTTTTTTTTAATAAAGTGTACTAATTTATAACTATCTCTTATTCAAAGGCAACTATTAGCAAAATAAATCCAGTAACTTTGTTTTTATTTTCAAACAGGGAATTGAAATTAGGAAGAACTTGAGAAGGTTTAATGGGTTTCCTTTTACGAAAGAATCTTCGGAATTTGAGAAGAAGAAAAATAATCTTGACAAGTATGTAAAACCTTTAATTGTGTCACAAATTTGTTTACTTCAACATAATTTTTTAATGGACATATTTTAGAAATGTTCAAGATATAGCTTTTTTTAGTGATTATCCTGAATTGAGAGAGATTGAAAGTCTGATAATGTGCTGTAATAAATAATAATAATAATATATGATTATTAACGTAATGAAAGAGATGATACAATAACGTATTCTGCTGATATTATACAATTTGATACTTGGTTCTATCTATACTATACAAGTATTCATAGTAAATGAAAACCTGAAAACTCGTTGATTTAGGGAATATTCACTTTGTTTATTAAAAAAATTCCAATTTAAATATAAAGAAGTAAAAGTTAACAAATTAACTTATGGGTTAATTAATGTGCTTTCTTAACTTATGGACTTCTTTCAGATCTGGGCTTTAGATATTTGTAATTGTCAACTTTGTCTAAGCCTGGCTCTGGCCCTGTTTTTAAGAAAAAACTCAATACACTTTGAATAAATTAAAAATTGTACAGAAAAGTCTTCAGATTGAAAATCATTGCCAAATCATAACATGGTCATCAGTGGCAAATCATAAGCAGAGAGGACACTATTTACTGTGGGTTAATTTTACAGCATGATATGTCTGTTGTGGCAAAACAATGTAAAAGATCCATATCAAAAAGAAGGAAAGAAAGATCAGACCTTCAGTTTATAAAACTGATTCTGATGTATTGGGTTAAGATCTGTTATCTGTAATTAAAAATTTATTTAATAAATTATTGTAAATATTTCTGAAAATTGAATGTTATTAATGTGCAGATTTTTTTTTGTATAATTGTGAACTAGTGATTTAACATGTTCTTTCCTGTATTCTATAGTGATCAGACAATATTTGTTTTTCAGAGGGTGCCAATTATTGGACATTCTGAATTATTGAATTAATGAACTTCTACTCTCTATCAGAATATTCATTTGCATATACATATACTACCACACAGTCTATTGATACAAGTGATAAAATTGGTTTCATATAACATTTGATCTAAAAGAATATTTTAAACTGTTAGTATAAGGACTTTTATATAACTTTTATTATAAGAAAAACTTTAATGAAATTTTTGAAACAATGAGGATTCTTGAACTTTCCAATGACCATCAGTTTCTTCTTATCAGTTCTAGTAGCATTTGAACATATGAGGATTGTCATTCTTTCCTTAAATTTTGTTTTGAGTACATCTCTCTCCTAAAAGTACAGTAAAAATTAAAGTGAGTGAACTCAATTCAGCTTTCTCATATCCTTTTTCTTAATCACACATATCTTTGAAGGCTAAAATCTTTGATAGCAGGGCCTTGAAAAATAGTCCAGTCTCATCTGCATTGTAAATGCCACTGGGATGATATCCATTGGCTAAACATTCTTGATCTTGTTATCCACTTACTCCTTGTCCAATACCCCAGCTTCCCCACAGACTTGTTGCATGCTGATGTGTCAATCTTTAAAACAGTCTATTTGACCTGAAGAAATGGTCACATAGTTGTCCTTAGTATCCACAATGTTTAGCTCCTTAACAAATTCCTGTGTCTTCAGCAGTAGCATTGGGCCACTCGTGGAGACATTTCCATAACTTTTGGTCGTCTTTCTCTTCTAGCTTATTCATATTATGACGAGTTCCTTATTTCATCGATGTTAATCACTAACTCACCTGTCTAAAGTTCTGAGCATTGGTTTTCAGTTTTGATTTGTTATTCAAAATCTGATTTTTATTTTGCTCTTGTCAATGTTCTGCTTGTCACATAAATCATTCCTGCTAGCTCCAATCTCGGCTTCATTGATTATCTTTTGAGTTTATCAGTAATATGCAATTGTGTGCACTTTTTACTCATTGTAACTTTTGTGCTGTCAGTGAATTTGCAGTGGATAACTTGCCTTTACAAATGTGACTGAATATGAAAGGGTGAAGAATTTTAGGTTGATGAGGAATGTGAGTCATTGGCTATGTTAATGTCAGTAACTATGTAAAGTATTAGATTATTTTTCTGACTTTCTACAACGATTATAGACATGACTGTGTGCCGGAAATAGCCGTTCCCTAATGGGTACTTTACACGGATTCGCGTTAGTGTGCCAGGCCTGGACTTTAAGCGTGCACCGAATTTAACAATGACAAAGTTAGTCAAAAACAATCAAATATTTAATAAATATTCTAGTAATAACTATATACAAAATTTAGTAAAAATCAAGTAACAATGTATTCAATGAAAATCAATAAGAATCAACCCGACAAAACTCAAATCAATCTATTTTCTAACTTAATTCTATTCCCCTTTGGAATTCGACAAAAATCAAAGACTTAATTTATGTACAATAATTCTTATGAATTAAAGATCCTAATCATCACCTCAATATACTAGGAACCCTTTTCCTCAACTCTCAAGACTTTCTCTAATCTTCAATCCACAAATCGAATAACTTCAAAATCGCCTTGGAACTATTTGATCCTATCAGACACCTCTCTCTCGTTTGCTGATACGAAGCTCACTTCGGTCATCTTCACTTGAGGTTCGGACTTTGTACTGTGTGGTGACGTCACAATTCTGAATGCGATCACTCCCCTCATTTACATACTCATTTGCTAACAAGCTTTTTTCTGTTTGTCTGGCAACCTATTTTCCGACAATACTCGCTAACCTTTTACATTATTCTTTTTGACAATTTTCGGGATGTTTTTATTTTTTAAGGTTTAGCAAGGTCCTAAGTTAGGCTTGTGGGGTCTCCCCTCTTTTCTCGGTGTGGACTTACTTTTTCTGCTCAGGAGCACAAGTGTGCGCGAGTTTTTTTTTTTCTATGGCGCTTTTCTCTCGTTGATGAATTGGTTTCTCTTCTATTTTTAAGTTTCTAAGGTGAATGGTGAGGAAACCCTCATCCTAACAAAACATAAGCCCCAAACAAAAATATAATAAAAAGCAAAATAAAAGTAACTAAAAATAACACTCGGACTTGGTTCCTTACAACTAATATAGTACTGTACTTTCTAGTAAACAACAAATGTTTTCTGTGGAAAGAAAAAGCACATGGTTTACCAGGTGTTTTGCCTGGAGACTGTTTACTGTGATCAAGATTTTTCAAATAGAGGTTCAGAACAATTTGGTTTAATGTAATTGAGTTTCCATTATAATTGTATTCACTATAGCCAATGAAAAATGCATTCAAGGCATAGCGGATTTGACAGGACTAGACTGTTCGGTTCAAAAAACCAAGGTTACATTGTATGCAAGTTTCACTGTATAACAATGTTTTTAATGTTCAGATTGCATATAACTTTTCTTGAGAAACTATGTCATCATTTAATAATAACAGTAATATTTGATAATTTAGATCACTGTGGTCCCATAGGTACTGGATTAACAATGTTCTACTCTAAAAAACTAAAGTCAATGTAAAAAGATATTTATTTCAATTATGTTTTAGTATATTATTCTAATGTTTGTAAAGATGTACAATTTAAAAATGTTACAAATTATTTTTTAATATACAAATCAAAGCTGGTTTATATATACAGTAGAGCGTCGTTTATCCAAATCAATTGGGGACTGGGATTGTTCGGAAAATCGATATTTCGGATAACCAATTATGTATGAAAAAAATATATTAATCTATCCCATGTTGAAATTTTTCTCCGTTACGTGTCGCTTTGCATTAAATTTTCGTTGATGTTAAGCCTAATGTAAACTTTTTAAAATAATAATTGTGACTATTGTATCGTTAAAAATTATTTCTTTTATTTTGTACAAACAAAATAAATATATAAAAACAAAAAAATTATACTTTAGAAGTTAATCTAATATCAAAAATGTAAAATATTTGAGTAGCTCAAGACATAGCCAAAGATTGCACTGCCACAGCATTGGCGAAAATTTAAATTTGCCGACTGGAATTCTTTTGGATAAATGATGCTCTACTGTAGTCTTTTCTTGCACTCTACATCATAAAATGAACTTTATGCACAAAGCTAATTCTACTACTTATGCAATAATTTTGATAATATGCAAGATACTTAAACTGTGTATCTTGGAATGTTCTCAACCAAAGTGACATTATTTTATTATGTAGTCACTATATAACACCTGAAGGGACACCAGTGGTGTGGAGTTGCAAGTATATGTGCATTGCTGATGCTGGGAGAAGATACCTGATTTTTTTTTGCCGATGAAATTCATCAACTTATCCAATGATGGCATGCATGTATGACAGGTATGGTGACTACATAAAAAAGGAATGGCATTCTCTGGTAGAGGATGTTACACGTTTTCAGCAGACATAAGTTCATGTACCATACATATTATTGAGATTAGAAAAGTTCTACCTCCTATGTGATAAATTGCATCATATATTTGAATAAATGTATTTACCTTTGGAATTAAATACTGTGGTATAAGAATTAATAAGAAATTTTCATTTTAGGAATTTTATGAACAATTTGTATAATATTCCAAATGAATATATAATTAAATAAACGCCCACAATTGCCATAAATAATCGGGCTCAACGGCAATTGTGGGTGTATATTTGCTATGCATAAGGTTTCGATTGATGTTTATATATTTGAATATATAATTATAGTGCATATTCATTTGGAATATTCTATCTAGTTCCTTGAAATATGGGATAATAAAAAAGTCATTTTTATACACTATTCAGATAAAAATTTTGTATAATTAATATGATGGAATGATACCAAAATTTCTCCCAATTTTGATTCTTTGAATACTTTTTAAAGTTTATTTTAGTTCAGAAAAATTAATGATTTACATTATGAGCATGATACATTTGTTAATTAATAAACATCAAGCTTAAGAATGGAAAACGATCAGAAAATCCAGAATCAATCTTTCCAAAACATGAAAATTTACCCTTTATATGTGGATACACACGCTTTTATTGTGTACTATGAAATAAATTTGTAATCTTATTTCAGATAAAGGTAATACAGTAGAGCATCGATTATCCGAATCAATTGGGGACTGGGGTTGTTCGGATAACTGATATTTCAGATAACTGATTATGTATGAAAAAATAGTTTAACGTATCCGATGTTGAAATTTTTCTCCAATGCGTGTCGCTTCACATTGAATTTTTGTCTATGTTAAGCCTAACGAAGACTATTGTATCGTTAAAAATTATTTTTTTATTTTGTACAAACAAAATAAATATATTGAAAAATATAAAAACAATAAAAAATTATACTTCAGAAGTTAATTTAGTATCAAAAACGTAAAATATTTGAGTAGCCCAAAATATAGCCAAAGATTGCAGCATCACAGCACTAGCGAAAATTTAAATTTGCAGACTGGAATTATTTCGGATAATTGACTTTCGGATAATCATTGCTCTACTGTATTGCAATACTACCCATGAAGAAATTACAGCTAATTCCCTTTTACTCAATGAACTATCCTATTGTCATGTAGGGTTGCCACCTTTGGAAACTGCTTTGTTGGCCAACACAATGACCAGGGGGTGGAAGTAAACGAGAAGATGCACTTTTTTCACGTTTTCACAATGGTCATGTCTTGTAAATGATTTAATTCTATCGTATTTAATCCTAAGTGAAGGTTGTCAAATGAAGCAACAAGCCAAACAAATATTGTCACAAGTTAACCAATTTTTGAATTCATCACTTGAGCCACAAATATCTGGACCAACTCATCTTAAAAAAACAATTTTTAAAACTCAAAACAGCATTAAACTTATTTGTTTGAAAATTTAACATATTAGAGCATCTGTTAATTATGACAAAAACTTTTAAAAGTATAATGAAAAAGTCATTTTATCATTATCAGTAAACATACTAAATATTTTCTCTTCTATTTTTAAGTTTCTAAGGTGAATGGTGAGGAAACCCTCATCCTAACAAAACATAAGCCCCAAACAAAAATATAATAAAAAGCAAAATAAAAGTAACTAAAAATAACACTCGGACTTGGTTCCTTACAACTAATACAGTACTGTACTTTCTAGTAAACAACAAATGTTTTCTGTGGAAAGAAAAAGCACATGGTTTACCAGGTGTTTTGCCTGGAGACTGTTTACTGTGATCAAGATTTTTCAAATAGAGGTTCAGAACAATTTGGTTTAATGTAATTGAGTTTCCATTATAATTGTATTCACTATAGCCAATGAAAAATGCATTCAAGGCATAGCGGATTTGACAGGACTAGACTGTTCGGTTCAAAAAACCAAGGTTACATTGTATGCAAGTTTCACTGTATAACAATGTTTTTAATGTTCAGATTGCATATAACTTTTCTTGAGAAACTATGTCATCATTTAATAATAACAGTAATATTTGATAATTTAGATCACTGTGGTCCCATAGGTACTGGATTAACAATGTTCTACTCTAAAAAACTAAAGTCAATGTAAAAAGATATTTATTTCAATTATGTTTTAGTATATTATTCTAATGTTTGTAAAGATGTACAATTTAAAAATGTTACAAATTATTTTTTAATATACAAATCAAAGCTGGTTTATATATACAGTAGAGCGTCGTTTATCCAAATCAATTGGGGACTGGGATTGTTCGGAAAATCGATATTTCGGATAACCAATTATGTATGAAAAAAATATATTAATCTATCCCATGTTGAAATTTTTCTCCGTTACGTGTCGCTTTGCATTAAATTTTCGTTGATGTTAAGCCTAATGTAAACTTTTTAAAATAATAATTGTGACTATTGTATCGTTAAAAATTATTTCTTTTATTTTGTACAAACAAAATAAATATATAAAAACAAAAAAATTATACTTTAGAAGTTAATCTAATATCAAAAATGTAAAATATTTGAGTAGCTCAAGACATAGCCAAAGATTGCACTGCCACAGCATTGGCGAAAATTTAAATTTGCCGACTGGAATTCTTTTGGATAAATGATGCTCTACTGTAGTCTTTTCTTGCACTCTACATCATAAAATGAACTTTATGCACAAAGCTAATTCTACTACTTATGCAATAATTTTGATAATATGCAAGATACTTAAACTGTGTATCTTGGAATGTTCTCAACCAAAGTGACATTATTTTATTATGTAGTCACTATATAACACCTGAAGGGACACCAGTGGTGTGGAGTTGCAAGTATATGTGCATTGCTGATGCTGGGAGAAGATACCTGATTTTTTTTTGCCGATGAAATTCATCAACTTATCCAATGATGGCATGCATGTATGACAGGTATGGTGACTACATAAAAAAGGAATGGCATTCTCTGGTAGAGGATGTTACACGTTTTCAGCAGACATAAGTTCATGTACCATACATATTATTGAGATTAGAAAAGTTCTACCTCCTATGTGATAAATTGCATCATATATTTGAATAAATGTATTTACCTTTGGAATTAAATACTGTGGTATAAGAATTAATAAGAAATTTTCATTTTAGGAATTTTATGAACAATTTGTATAATATTCCAAATGAATATATAATTAAATAAACGCCCACAATTGCCATAAATAATCGGGCTCAACGGCAATTGTGGGTGTATATTTGCTATGCATAAGGTTTCGATTGATGTTTATATATTTGAATATATAATTATAGTGCATATTCATTTGGAATATTCTATCTATTTCCTTGAAATATGGGATAATAAAAAAGTCATTTTTATACACTATTCAGATAAAAATTTTGTATAATTAATATGATGGAATGATACCAAAATTTCTCCCAATTTTGATTCTTTGAATACTTTTTAAAGTTTATTTTAGTTCAGAAAAATTAATGATTTACATTATGAGCATGATACATTTGTTAATTAATAAACATCAAGCTTAAGAATGGAAAACGATCAGAAAATCCAGAATCAATCTTTCCAAAACATGAAAATTTACCCTTTATATGTGGATACACACGCTTTTATTGTGTACTATGAAATAAATTTGTAATCTTATTTCAGATAAAGGTAATACAGTAGAGCATCGATTATCCGAATCAATTGGGGACTGGGGTTGTTCGGATAACTGATATTTCAGATAACTGATTATGTATGAAAAAATAGTTTAACGTATCCGATGTTGAAATTTTTCTCCAATGCGTGTCGCTTCACATTGAATTTTTGTCTATGTTAAGCCTAACGAAGACTATTGTATCGTTAAAAATTATTTTTTTATTTTGTACAAACAAAATAAATATATTGAAAAATATAAAAACAATAAAAAATTATACTTCAGAAGTTAATTTAGTATCAAAAACGTAAAATATTTGAGTAGCCCAAAATATAGCCAAAGATTGCAGCATCACAGCACTAGCGAAAATTTAAATTTGCAGACTGGAATTATTTCGGATAATTGACTTTCGGATAATCATTGCTCTACTGTATTGCAATACTACCCATGAAGAAATTACAGCTAATTCCCTTTTACTCAATGAACTATCCTATTGTCATGTAGGGTTGCCACCTTTGGAAACTGCTTTGTTGGCCAACACAATGACCAGGGGGTGGAAGTAAACGAGAAGATGCACTTTTTTCACGTTTTCACAATGGTCATGTCTTGTAAATGATTTAATTCTATCGTATTTAATCCTAAGTGAAGGTTGTCAAATGAAGCAACAAGCCAAACAAATATTGTCACAAGTTAACCAATTTTTGAATTCATCACTTGAGCCACAAATATCTGGACCAACTCATCTTAAAAAAACAATTTTTAAAACTCAAAACAGCATTAAACTTATTTGTTTGAAAATTTAACATATTAGAGCATCTGTTAATTATGACAAAAACTTTTAAAAGTATAATGAAAAAGTCATTTTATCATTATCAGTAAACATACTAAATATTAAAAATAATTTTATATAATATTTTTCAATTAAAATATACATTTTAAAATGCTTTTCCAACACTTAACTATTTTTGCCAACTACCAGTCTAAATTTGAAACTAAATATCCCAATAGTTCAATCAATGTTAATTTGCTTGTAATTAAAAATTTTCAAAAGCAGGCAAATTTATGAAACAAAAATTAATGAAATTCAAAAAAAAAGTAATATACATTTAAATTTGATTATCTTTTGTGCAAAACAATACTAAAACAATTTCTATAGGTATATCACAAAATAAAAAAAAGATTGCAATTAATTTAAAAAATTATAATTAAAGATTGAAAAAATGCAGGCAAAATGAAATAAACATTATTTAAAATAATAAACTCTGGCCTTTACACCAAAACCAAAAGTAAAGATAAAATCAAATTAATTAAAATTAAAATCAAATCAGTCAAAAATTAAAACTGTTTAAAAGTTGTTTTGAAATTTTCAAATTGTAAATCAAATTAATTTTAAAATTTACATTATTTGTGTGCAGTAATGATGGAACATTTTTGCTTCCATATTTCCAATAAACTAATATTTAATTTTTAATCTTCAACCGAAATGGAAATTAATTTTCTTATAAAATGTGAAAAAATCAGAAATTGTGACAAGATTTTCTCAATTCTGATTTCCTGAAAATTTCCAATTTTTCTGATTCTGATTAATCATTTATTATTAACTAATAATTAGTTATATTTGTAATTTATTAAGTTTGTATTGATGTTTCATGATATATTAATATTCAATTTCAATTTGAACTTTTTTATAGATTAACTCTTCCTGTATTAAAGCGTGTTTGTGACATCCTTGATTTAGAAAGATCTGGTACAAAAGAAGATATAGTAAGCAGAATTTCAGAATTTTTACTATATCCAAAAGCTTCGGGGAAGAGTGTACCCAAAACTAAAAAAAGTATGTTTAAATTTATATTGTGAAGTTTATTTTCTATGTAATTTTTATTGAAAGAGGACTCAAAAAGTCTGTTAACTATTTTAAAATAAAATAGCATTATTGTAGTTTGAACAATTCTTATAAATTTTATGATTAGTAAAAAGTAAGATCTTTCACTTTGAATATTCAATCTGAAACATCTCATTCCTGCAAATTCTCTGGAATAGAGTATACTATTATACAGGGACTGGTTATGGCCAATAAAATTGTGAGCATTGTAATTTGTTATTTATCAATAGTTTAGCAGCTTTCTACAGAAATCTACATTTTCCAGCGCTTGCTTTAGTAGATAAAAGCAATATCACCCCAAACGAAGGTATGATGGATGCAAGAAAGATGTCTGAATGTCACCAGTTCCTTTTTCAGAAATTATTTGTAATTTTAATTGGATATTTATTTAGTGTTTTTTAAAAGGACTTTTTAAACTTCTGGCAACTAGTAGCCTAAAAGGAAAGGTCAGTTGCCAAGAATATGTATTGTCTGGAACACAGAAATAATAAATGGTGGTCCCTTTTGGGCAGACTGTCTTCAATTTTATTAAAAAATAATCTCCATCTGACAAAAATTTACAAGTTTAGTATGAATAAAAGTTTTATGAGTCAGGTAAATTCAGAAGTAATATGCACATTGCAGGACTGGTAGAGGTGACACAGATATGCAAATGATTAAATGAACAAGGAAAGATATGTAACAGACACCTGTTTATTCAATAATGAATATAGTCCCCATTGTCACTTCTACTGGTCCTGCAATTTACATGTAACTACACATTTTTTTGTGGTGTTGCAACTTTACTTTTGAGGAGTGTAAAATCATTAATAAATGACATCATTTGTCATCTAACCAACAATTAATACTTTTCTGCATTTAATCACATATATTCAAAAATCTTTGTAATTAGCTTTTTGATAAATCATAAATCTCTATTTTTGAGAAATCATTTACATTGAGAATGATGGCTAATTGAAAGTTTCCTATTTGTAAATTGTCTTCATACTAAACAATTTTTATCTATCTTCATCTGGATAAATCATTCATTATTTCTATTTCTTTAAGGATAGCATACTTTTCTGTACAGAATTCAAACACTTTATAGATAACTAGCAGACCCCGCCACGCGTTGTTGTGGCTCAAAATGTATCTATTATAAATGTATAACACTTCCCCCGTGGGGGGGGATTTTTCGAAAAATTTCTTCTTAGCGTACACTCTCTTGACGTACAGTACCCTATTAAAATGCAATCAAAAACGCAAAAACCCGCATCTAAAATAGTATAATAGAAGCCAAGTTCTTCACGGTAAGCTTTAATCCTGTCCCTCTCCTTCGCGGGGGTAATATCGAAAATTCCCTTCTTCGTATACGTTCTGTTGACGTACCCTATTAAAACGCAATCAAAAACGCAAAAACCGCATCTAAAATAGTATAAATAGAAGCAGAGTTCTTTACGGTAAGCCTTAATCCTAACCATCTCCCTTCAGTGGGGGGAATTTCGACACGTATATTATATAAAAACACGTGCNGTCACTTCTACTGGTCCTGCAATTTACATGTAACTACACATTTTTTTGTGGTGTTGCAACTTTACTTTTGAGGAGTGTAAAATCATTAATAAATGACATCATTTGTCATCTAACCAACAATTAATACTTTTCTGCATTTAATCACATATATTCAAAAATCTTTGTAATTAGCTTTTTGATAAATCATAAATCTCTATTTTTGAGAAATCATTTACATTGAGAATGATGGCTAATTGAAAGTTTCCTATTTGTAAATTGTCTTCATACTAAACAATTTTTATCTATCTTCATCTGGATAAATCATTCATTATTTCTATTTCTTTAAGGATAGCATACTTTTCTGTACAGAATTCAAACACTTTATAGATAATAATAAACAGATATAACAACTGATTTAACTATTTTATCAGTTGTGAAATAATCCAGAAACAATTATAGTTAATTGGCTCTTGAGCCACCTTGTGTACAGTTAAATAATTTTCAGAATCATTATGTATTACTGAATTTAAACTTAAAAATTTTGCATAGAATCTTCATCAAAGGGAGAAAAGAAGAAACCAAAATCAGAGAAAGATAAATCTGATAAGAAAAAGATCTCCAAAAAGAAAGAAGATTCATCAAGTGAAGAAAAAGAAGACACCAATGATTTTTCTGAGGAAGAAAATGAAGATGATTATGATGCCAATGATGATGAAGATTATGAAGATGAGGTAATTTAATATATGATACTATCAAAAAATGAAATGTAAAATACAAGCACATCTATATATTTTACTATATTGATTACTTTTGTTGTATACTCGTGGCAAAATTAAAATTTAGATATTCTTATATACAGGTAACTCTTTGTTAATGTGATTAATTAATTGCTTGATGCTACTGCATATATCAAAATCACATTGATCAGATACAGTGATACCTCGGAACTCAACTCAAACGATCATGACCGGCAAGAATAAATTTTTGGTTAATAAAACATATTTTTATTTTAATTTTGTCATGCATAAGAAAAGTTTTCTATAATAAAAATGTGTAACTAATTTAAAAATTAAAGAAAGCTTTAGAGCTGCCTACCTTTATCAGACAAAATTATACTCAATCCAATTTGTTTCCTTCCACTAATGCATGCAGAACACAATCAATGTCAGTGACACATGAACATTTGTTGCAAGTTCACTAGTTATTTGTGAATTTTTAACAATTTCTTACTGAAATTTCTCTTTGTTACAACTTTTGCTAGTGATTTGTTGTTTAGAGTAATAGATAAAAATTAAGTATGTAATATGGGCCTAACAAGTTAATTATATCTAACTTATTTATGATAGATATTGATTTAACAAAAATAACTAGCAGCTAATTTTGAATATATCTACATTGTGGAATAAGGAATGTTTGTTGTATGTAAGTGAATATTAAATTGGACTGCAATTGAATATTGTTCAATGGTCTTCAGCCTATCTCGATGGAATTGCGACATCTATTAGAAGTGACTATAAACTAGTCTTAACAACATTAGATTATTTTTAGAAATGTTTCATTATAGATTGGTAAAAACTAATTAGGTAATATATCTTGTCATTAATTTAATTAATGGAAAAAAGAAAACTAGATTTATAGAAACAGCAAATATGAAACCAAAAATATTAGTAGATATATTAAAAAAGTATAATTAATTTTAATTGAAATAAGTATGGGTAAAAATGTCTTATTTTTCATACAAATTTACTCTTAGAAGTTTAAAAGTCAAGAGTAAAGAATAAGAGATTTTTATTATTTAAAATATCATTTCAAAGATACCTTTTTTAAGAATTAGATTTTTTGAGAAATAGTTTTTCTGCTTAAACTAGTATCCATCATTGGTGATGATCACAAACACAATTTATAATTCCTTTTATTGGAATTATCTTCCTAATAATGTAAATGCTTAGTTAAGGTGATTTTATAGAATTTCCTGTAATAAATATTCTGAAATCATATATAGAAACTTTATGAAAATATGCAAAATAATATTTTTGTATAATTTACCTTTTTAATTTTTATGCAATACTTGTGGTAATAATCTGTGTAGTTTTTAAATGTTTGTTTTAATGTATTTTAGCCAAAACAGAAAAAGAGTAGCAAAGATAATCAAGCAAAGAAAAAAAAAGAATCAAAATCTAAAAAGTCAGAAGAAAAGAAAAGTTCAAAATCTTCAAAAAAATCAAAGAGAGGTAAACATTTTGATATTGTTTCTATTAATTATTACTAATTTCTGTGATTGGACAGAATTGGCTTACATAGTTATAAAAGTTTATATTTGAGTCATTACATGGAGTGTCTTTTTAATGTATTATAATTTGCTTATGAATCCTTTTTGATTGAGAAAAGTTACAAATGTGTATTTTTAGTGTTGAAAATATATATAAAAAGTGTCAAATATTCACTATTTGAAGCAGAAATATATGTTGATAAACTTTGACACATCACTTCACAATAACAATTGACTCCTCTCCCAGCTAAGTAATTTGAGACATAGTGTGAATAATAGCAATAACTTCTCCTCCCGTTCTAGATAGACTGAGCTGTGGTTTGTTTTATTTAAAAGAAGGCAGGTTTGTCTAACTAACAGATGTACAAAGTTCAGCGAATCTCTGTAAATTAATTAATTTGTTTTTTTTTTTCTTTAACTTTAAATTTTAATATTATTTTAAATCTGTATTAAACTAAAAGTTAAACATTTGTAAACTGTAATATGTTTTTAATCAAACACAAAAAATAGATTAAATATAGCGCGATTTTGGAGCGAAATANCCTTTGTTTAAGGGTATTTGGGCAGTTTATTCTCTGTTATATTCTCAAGTAAACAATACATACAAGTACAGTACAGTATTTTCTGAGGAAACACTCATACTTATTTTTTTTAACCCCATTCCCGATAACCCGGCATTTTCACAAACTCGGCCACCCTTCGGTCCACATTAAGCCGAGTTTTCGAGGTTCTACTGTACTATATTTCTGCAAATAAAAACAAGCTTTTATAGATGAGCAAAATCTGTACAACTGGTATATTCTGCAAAGAACCTAAAAAAACTTTTACAGTATCAGAAGCATTTTTACTTTCCTTGTTGTTATTTATAACAGAGGGAAAGTATAGTGATTGGTGAAAAAATGACCTCCTGAAGATTTTTACATTTTTGACTCAACTTTGAAATGTTGGAAGATGCAAAAAAAAAAAGTTGTGGTTTTTCTATATTATGAAGGTTAGTGTGTGTTTCAGGGATGATTTTGTTCACCCATGACTTGGAAGCTTAATTCCTGTGCTTTTTTTTATCAGGGACGTTGATTTGTGTACTAGGTTTGGGTATTAGGGGCATAGGTGCTATTAAATTTTGGTGGTAAAAGGGGTGGGTAATATAAGTTTTTAAAATAAAATATCTTATTAAATGGTGCCCCACATAATTTTTAATGATTAGCAGAGATATCACAGAATAGTTACAATATCAGTATATTTACATTGACTGTGGCCTACATTACACTACAGGCTAGTGTACACAGTGTCAGCAGACAATAGAAAGTGTAGAAGCAGAACTTCTGGTTTTTCCTGTCAGAGATCATACTTTAATTAAATTTGTTTTTTTTTTTCGTAAACTTTAAATTTTAATATTATTTTAAATCTGTATTAAACTAAAAGTTAAACATTTGTAAACTGTAATATGTTTTTAATCAAACACAAAAAATAGATTAAATATAGCGCGATTTTGGAGCGAAATATCACAATTTAGAAATTACCCAAAAAATGTAAAAAATGCGCCACACCATGAATTCAACCTAATTATGTAATATTATAGATTTTCGGCCTAGAAAAGGTTAAGAGTTTGATTGGGGCTTATGCTGGAACTCCCAGGTTGCAAAGGACAGTCCAGCATGTCCAGAACAAGACCATCCATGAAAAATTCCTGGGATTGCTCTCCCAGATTTGACCTGTACCTTCCAAAGCAGTAGGTTATTGCCTTATTTAACTGCCTTGATTGTCCAGCCATCAGGATAGATATATATAAAAATAATTGTCCTATTTCTAAACAGCATAGAATTACATTTTAGAGAAATGGCTGAGTCCATAGACTGTCTGGCTTATGTGCATGGACCATAAATGACTGTTTCAATTCAATTGTCTTTTATAAATTAATCTTCTAGTGATGTTATCTTTCACGAGAATAGTAGTAATGACATTAAAACGTTACAATTTTACTGGAAAATTCTCAACAAGTTGTGTACATACATGTTTAATATTGGCTGTTTCTTCAAAATCTTGAAAAGGAAAAGTAGAACAACATTGTAAATTGAAATTACTTGCATGTTTTTAGATCAGACCCCAAAAGTTTTAGAAAAGGTATGAAATTGGTTAGTACATAAGAAAATTTCAAATACAATGGTATAAAAGTTGTTAAATAAATAACTTTGAATTTAAAAATTAACACATTGGATGGTTATTTTTAATTTCAGCAGCAAATTCAGAAGAAGAATCTGATGACGAGCCACTGGTTAAAAAAGCAAAGTCGCCTCCGTCGGTTTGTTACTTTCTTATTTTACAAAATTTGTTCATTTATATGTTGAAAATTTATATGTTGTCTTATGCAAAAATCAAGGATGAAGAAATAAAACAGTTGGTGAAACAAATACTTGATGGTGCAAATTTAGAAGAAATTACAATGAAAAAAGTTATTAAGCAGGTATGCAGTTAATAGCAATTTTAATTACTATATCACTTCAATTGTTTTATACTTTTGACCCATTTCTGCTGTACAGAGTTTCCCCATACTTAAAGAATTAGTCACTTTGTACTTATAAATCTTTTTGTTCCTGTTGAAAGTTATCTGCTCTTTTAGAATATTTGAAACTAAATTCCATAAATTAATCAAAACGTTTCAAATTACAGTAGAACCTCGAAAACTCGGCTCTCGATAACCCGGCACTCCGGATAACTCGGCCACACNATTATAGTTAATTGGCTCTTGAGCCACCTTGTGTACAGTTAAATAATTTTCAGAATCATTATGTATTACTGAATTTAAACTTAAAAATTTTGCATAGAATCTTCATCAAAGGGAGAAAAGAAGAAACCAAAATCAGAGAAAGATAAATCTGATAAGAAAAAGATCTCCAAAAAGAAAGAAGATTCATCAAGTGAAGAAAAAGAAGACACCAATGATTTTTCTGAGGAAGAAAATGAAGATGATTATGATGCCAATGATGATGAAGATTATGAAGATGAGGTAATTTAATATATGATACTATCAAAAAATGAAATGTAAAATACAAGTACTGTACATCTATATATTTTACTATATTGATTACTTTTGTTGTATACTCGTGGCAAAATTAAAATTTAGATATTCTTATATACAGGTAACTCTTTGTTAATGTGATTAATTAATTGCTTGATGCTACTGCATATATCAAAATCACATTAATCAAATATAATCAATAATAAAAATTACAATATATATAAAAGAATTGTTTCCCCCACTACATCCATCAAATTGTCGATATTTACAAAAAAAAAAACAAAAACATTATTTTGTATGTAATTCAGATGTAGATGCTGCATCCATGTTTTTCTTGTCACGAGTTTGATTGTTATATAAAGTTGGAGAAGGGATACACAAAAAGAATCTTGCATTTGTGTCATAGTCTCAACCATTCATCACATTTTTTGTAACAATTGTAGTTCTTCTAATAAAAATTCTAACAATGAATATATTCTGATTATTGAAATAAATCTTAAGTATTTTATGCAGTTTAGTCGACATTTTTTCCAATTATGCCAGAGTATCTAAAATAATCATTCACAATGTCCAAACAAATTAACCTTTACAGATATAGTAAAAAATACTTTGTAACTTTGCTATACTGTCGACCCCCGCTATAACACTGTTGATTATTCCGTTTTATATGAATTCAATGTTATACGAGTCAGTTAGATTTTACAAATACGTGAGCCATTCACAGCCCTGCACACGTATTTGTAAAATCTAAGTGACTCGTACTGTACAACATGGAATTCATATAAAATGGAATAATCAACAGTGTTATGGGGGGGGTCGACTGTTGCTAAATAAGTGAATTTCGTATTTTTTTATTGGCCTTTTTTTAAAACTAACCTGCCTTGGTGGGAAATACGAATAAATTAATGTATTGTAGATCTATTTTACAAGAAATGCTGGATTTTAATATCACTGGCGACGTCTAAATAATTTCCGTCCCAATTTAAGATTGGATTCATTTTGCATCATCCGGTATTTCCTTATTAATTTTGAATTATCTTTCTATAAATATAGAGGAGAAGGTGGTATTATGGAACCCCAATTACATTTTAGTGAATTGTAAACAAGGTATCATAACTACACCCACATTTTTTGTGCAAAAAGTACTTGTAACTATTAAACTAAATGTTCCTAATTGGATTTTTCGCTAGTGTAACTATAAGTATGGTTTTTGAAGACTTTTGTACAAAAAGTCAGAAAGTAGGCTTAGAGAAAATCGGATGGTAATACGGAACCTTACTGTATATTTTCAAAAAATGCTTTAACGTAGCCAAAAACAAATAGGAAAGTACAAAGAATGTTAAATAATTACAAAATCATTTACTCCAATGTATTTTAACGCAAAAATGATTTAATAATAATAAAGAAGAAGCTAATCATTTACAAAAATCACAAATATAATGCCCCGTTTCAACATTAGCACAATCTTTGTGCCCACATAGCGCACATTAGGCACCCACACCTCCACATGACTATCATCTGCAAACAGACAAGCCGTGTCATCTTTAAAACCAGGCAAGTCAAAAGGAGAGATATCAATAGTCATCATCACTTCAATATTGGCACAAGAACAGTGTGCCCATTTATCACAACTGCTACATTTATTGTTATTTTTCAAATAAATAAACATAAAAGTTTCAACTTACTTGTAGACTATTTACTTTACCAGACGATACTGTCACTTCGCGCATGCTCAGTTTCGCTATTTTGTAAGCAGACGATATTTTTTTTCATGAAAAAAAAAAATGTTTATTTCGATTGTTATCTTACATTTTATTTCATGTTAAGATAGTATTTAAATTAAAAAAATGTTTTCGTAAATAAAAACATTATTTTATGGTTTGAATTTGTTGGTAATACTGAACACCAGGGGAGTTGGGTTCCATATTAAAAGCACGAGTGGGGTCCGTATTTCACGCATCTCCATCTTGGGTTAACTTAATTCCTGTCGGCACCAAACTTTAAAAACGTGAAAATCACACAGATTAATATGTACCGGAATACATGCACCAGTGAACCTACAACTACACGATTTATATTTTAAAAATAATTAAATNATTTTGAAAAAGATAAGCAAATACTACTGTAATAGCAATTTTGACTGTGAAGTGATGTAAACATGTGGTTGAGAAGATGTAAGTAATACATATAAGTTCAGATTAATGCAAAATAAGACGAATATGTACAGTAACTATAAAAAAAATTTTTTTTAAATATCTAATTTTGTTAGAACTTTACTATATTTTACAAATAAACTAATCAATCTTCATTATTAATAATTAAATGTACAATATTGGTAATAATCATCAGTATTACCTGAAAGTAGTAAGGTATTTTTAACGTTTAGGATATGTAAACAAAACATCCAAGAAGGTTAGATAATGTGAAAGTGCTATTTTTGAGATATTAAAGGGGATTCATATTTTTTAATATGTAATCTAATAAAAATCTGAATCAATATTTGTAGAAGTTAATTTTAATTAGGTTTAGACCAAATTAAAATTAACTTCTACAAAAAATGCATTATTTATAGACTAAAATTATTATAAATTTGCTTATTCTAAGTGATTTTCGTGTATAAGAGCGTACTTTTGTGTGTGGAAATACATTAAGAAATGATTAAATCTTACAAAAACTCAGTAAAGCAGAAGTGAGTCAAGACAATACTGTTAAAGAATTATTACTACTTAAAATACGTAAAATATAGTATTATTTCATACCAATTATCAAAACTTAAATGATTCCTTTTCATCCCTTCAGGTTTTCGATGAATATCCAGAATTCGATCTGGGCGACAAGAAGAGTTTTATTAAAGTTACGGTCAGATCGGTAAGTTTTCTGATATTTCTTAAAACTAAAATGTACCTCTAAATAATTATTTATACAGAAATTTTATAATTTATTTATAGTTGATCTCTTGAGAAAAATTATCATCATTTTTTTTCATCCCATTTCCACTTGTTAAAACTTATTTACCAGCATTAATGGAACTTTAAAAAAGTCAATGTTGGAATCATTGTGTTCTATCACTATTACGGTCAAGAAGTATCAACATGTATCAACTCAGATTATTTCTTGAATTGGGGAAAAAGTGAAGGACGTCGCGTATCGTGGAAATGGCAACAAACATTAAAATCATGTAACTGTACAAAATTCTTTAAAAAGAAAAAAAGATTTTAAAAAAACACTTTTTGTGCCCATGTCGCCAGCACAAAACCCGTCAAATTACCTTCTCGGTACCCATGCAAGTTAACGAGGAATTTTAACGAAATTTTACGGATAACCCAGTATTCTAAAACACGAAAACGAATTAATTATTCGGTCATTTGTTCGTGCTGCTTTTTTTAAAAAAATGAAAAAAATAAATATATATGTATTTATTGTTGTTATGTCTTAATAAAAATGAATTATTTAATTGCGGTGTTTGAAGGTATCCAGAAATTTATTTACAAAAATTATTTTTACCGGATTTTATCATGGAATTCTTAATTTATTAATTAATACTTCTAGTTTTGAGCTTCGTTCTCGTAATTTAATTTTTTTTAATTATAGTAATTAGTATTTTTAAATTTAGACAGTCGAAAGCGAGCTCATTTTGTGCTGGTGACATTTTAATACACCACGCTTGAATTGTTTTATANTTTGTGCGATAATTCTTCGTCCGTAAGTAAAGAAAATTTGTACCGTTCATAGCAAAAGTAATAACACGTAGTAGCGGCTGTATTGTTGCACTGATGGAGAACCGGGAACAGGTATATTTCTTGTAAGTGAACTGTATTACAGTGCGCTTAAAAGAAATATTACACCTGTCCCTCACCGATTTTGATGAATTTTGCGCAAAGATAGTGTTTGATGTGATAATGTAATCAGCCAAATCGTCTTATTCTACTGGCCAAAATAAGCGAGTTATTGAAGTCTAAAATTAAGTTATCCATCCGCGTAGTCTGCTGTCATTGGCTAATTTGTAGAGGTTTCATTTTACTACAAACTTCCATATTGGCCACGGGTTTTTTTATACTCTTTCCACCCTGTGGGAACTAAGAGGGCCTCTTATAGCAGGCCCATTATGGGTTCGGCCAGGCCCACAATGGTGCGACCGGGTCCGACATATCCTAACGGAACACCCCCGAAGAATTCCTGGGGATTCCTTGACCCGACCGGATTCGGTCCCAGGTCCCCCAGAGCGGTAGGCTGCCACCTTGACCGCTCGGCCATCTGGCCTATTTTGTCCATGGTGGGAAGAGTTATAATCGCAATTGGATTTCGTCGAACTTATCAAAACATAATTGCTTATAAGAGTCAATTGTAAAAGTAGTTGCATACAATTTTTTGAAAAAGTACAAAATGATCTTTTCTCCTCGTGGGTACTAAGAGAGTCGTTTTCCATTGTGGATTCGGCAGGCCTATAATAAGAGGAGGAGAACTTTAAATTGTCATAGACACTTCAGATTTTTTTTAATTGTCAGGTAATTTACATATCTGTTCTGTAGTGTTTGGCAAATCATCACGGAAAGATTTACAGTTTCTCAATGTGTTGAAATTATTTATTATCAAAACCCACGATATGATTGCACTGTTGAAGTCGAAGTTTAGTGACAAGATTATTTCGAGAAAGGCAGCTGTTAACTGCCCACGCGATTTTGTGACTTGAATCCGATGGATTACTTTTTATGGGTTCACTTTAAATCCCTTGTTTAGTTCACTAATTGTTGACTACCTTAAAGCGAACATCATTCAGCTTGATTTAAGTGCCATAGTCATCGAAAATTGGGTTAATCGTTTTTACTCTGTCAAATATAATTATGAAGACCATTTAAATGATATTGTTTTTCATATGTAATGTCACCGAAAATACTATAAAATAAAGCAATTAGCCTCTTATTATTATTTTTTTTTGTACTTTTCATTTTATTTCAATTCAAAGTTTGATAAAATAAATTGAAAACTACAAAACTGCCTTTACTCTACCTCCTACGGAGTAGGAGGAGGTAGAGTAAAGGGAGCGAAGAGAGGAGAAGACTAAAGCGAATGGAGGTTAGTCCGAGGGAATTGATTCCTCGCGACGCGTCGCAACGATTTCGTTGTCGAACGTCGCGTCGCGTCGCAACGTAATCGAACGTCGCGACGTAATCGCAACGCAATTGAACGTCGCGTCGCGTCGCAACGATTCAACCCGTCGCGACGGGTTGAATCGTTGCGAAATTTTTGTTATGAACGATTTACATTGGGAATAAGTTGGCCAATCTCATGGATCGAGCGGGCAAAGCGAACCATTTCACCATGAAATTAAAACGTTTTTCTTCTGGAAGTCCAAAAAAAATTGTCCCAGCCTTCCTACCTCCGTTCGCTTCATTCCCTTCTCGGACCAACCCTCTGACACCGTTTCCTTCGCTCAACCCAACTCCCGCTGTCTTTAATGAATGCCCCATTTGCTTGGCTCTCTTCTAGGGCCAACCCGTCTCACTTCTTCTTAGGGCCATCCTTCCTTACTTTGTTCAACCCCCCCGCTCACTTCGCTTAACTGTTCAAAAAATTTCGTGACGATTCATCAAATTCCTGATACTAGCTTGTTATTATTAAAATAACGTTATAATATTTCTTTAATTTTTATGAATTAAAATAATTTATTAATAAATTTTGATTTATTTTAAAAACGAAACGATTAGAGAAAGAAATTTTTTCAATTCATACCTTCATGACGTGACGACGTAAGATTTTCTACAGATGGCACTACAGTTGGTGTGAATGCGGGAGATTGTTCTGTTCGAAATTGTTGGTTTAGGTGAGTCGTAATTATTTTTAAACGTTATAAAAATGAAAATAAAACGCAATTTTTGTTATTACAATTCAAATATTATTTCAATTATTATAAACTTTATACGCAATGTTTTTGTATAACAAACAACTGTGGCAATTGTCTGCACAAACGACATGTTAGGCTTAGTCATTCCAAAATGATTTTACGTTTTTCGAAGGGGAAAAAAAACTAAAACAGTTCAAAATTTAAATATTTTAATTGATTATATTATTTTCGTAAGTCATTTAAAATATTTAAATATTAATTTTTTAAGAATTGTACAAATTATTATTATTATTATTATTAGTGCGTGCCAATGACATTCGCCGTTTCTCATTGTTCTTTATGGGAATTCTTTAAAAGGAATTGTCTTTAAGAAATCGATTAATTATTTAAAATAACGCGAAACACGTTTTTCCCAATGATGAGAACGGATAAAAGTTTATTTTCTTGATTGATTTTGAAATGAAATTATGATTTTATCAATGAAATTGCCTTAAGGATCTGTTATTAATTATATTTTTTTATTTAAAATGATTTATTATAAAAAGAATTAAATAGAGCTTTTTGAATAATGCATTTTGAAAGCTGTTAATGTTTCATTAATCCAATTTTAAGTTTGTGTTTATATTTAGAATTGTGATCTACTCTGATGATAATAGATTTATATGCATTTAAATAATAAATTTGAACAAAACTTGCAAGTTATTGTCTCGAATTGTGTTAAAGGTTTATTCTTTTAGTAATTTCTGACTAAATGTAATTGGAAATGTGCAAAAAGATGTTTTTTAATAAAAAATTATTTGATTCTGATGTAATTAGATGGTTATTGAGGTTGAAAATCACAGTAAAAAAATTGAAAATATACTAGTTAAGGCATAAAAATTAAATGTGTAATAAAAAGGAAAAGATACTCTTACAAGATCTCGCGAAAAATGTTTATTTCGATTGTTATCTTACATTTTATTTCATGTTAAGATAGTATTTAAATTTAAAAAATGTTTTCGTAAATAAAATAAAACGTAAAAACATTATTTTATGGTTGAATTTGTTGGTAATACTGAACACCAGGAGAGTTGGGTTCCATATTAAAAGCACCAATGGGGTCCATATTTCACGCATCTACATCTTGGATTAACTGAAGTAAAACGGGGTTTCCCCTTGCTATGGATGTCTGCTTAGTTCAGTTCAGCCACATTCCGCTACAGTTCGCCTTTATTATCAATTCGAAATGGGGTGGTTCCATAATACCACCTTCTCCTCTAAGTAAAATAAATACTGCGATTTATAATAAAGCACTAAATTTCGATAAGAACCAGTCGATATTTTTGGCATACGTAAATAATAGCATCAAATAACTTCCCATAATTTTTAAATTTTTTTATAATTGTGTTTAAAAAGTGCGTGCAAAATTTCCTGCAGCATATTTAATCGGGTCAATTAGATTTATACGAAGTTTTCGAAAACCGGTTGACTAAATATAATCGGCAAAACGACCGAAGTTGCTAAGTTCGTGACCTCTACGCTCGCCAAGTCCGTTAGAACGTCCTTGCCGTACAAGTGTGAATCAAAATTTGGGAATATTAAATTCTAAAGACGAATATATATATATATAAAAATATTTTAAAAATTTAATATGTAAAACGTACAAATATATATTATTAGTAATTGTTATATAACAATATTTTGCTCGCGGTTAAATGTCAAAAAAATATATTCTCCGTATCCTGGACGTAAACAGTTTGAAAGACAGAAGCAGTTCTGTATATTCATTAATCTGTGTTTATATATATATATATGTGGATTTTTAAGGCACGCCGCACATTTGATATAATTGGTCGATAACTGATAAAATCAATTCTTTGTGATCTAATAAAAGGTGAACGAATAAAATCAAGCAGCAAAGATAAAGAATCCTCGTTTGTTTCCTGTGCCAACCTAAGGTCATATTTTCCAAATATTCCAACTTGGCACCGACGTCGAGGGGATTTCCGTCGGTCGTTTTGTCTTTCTTTGGAATTTCGGAAGCTGCGACGCATCTTAACCTGTGTTCCGTTATTTCCGACGAATTCCAGACGTCGTCCAGTTCCGACGGATTTACGTCACTCTTAACTTCGGTGGCCATTATTAAGAACTTGTCGTTTTCTTGGCACGTGGCTCCGTTTAACAATTGGGCGTTGATGTCGGTTCGATCTCCGGGTCGGATCAATCCGACGAAAGGCCAGGCCCGATATCTACGTCGACTCGTAGTCTTGATCTTGAAAGCCACGCAAGATTTCGACACGTTGGAAATGCCGAAAACCACGGTGGCCGGAGAAACCAGAGAATTTTCGGGGGGAGGCGAAAAGACCAGTCGGTCCGGGGGGTTGACGAGCACCGGCGAACGGTTGGGAGGTTTCGGAGCGGGTTCTTTCTCGGGAAGAGTGAGAGGGCTTGCAGCGGTTTCTTTGTCGGGAAGAGTGGGAGGACTCGGTACCGAGTCCTTGTTCAGGCCTCCAAAATCCGCCGGAAGAACCAATCGGTCGACGTATTCCGACACCGTCTCTCTATCGACCAATTTGATGAGTTCGGCCGCTTCCGCCGGCAACCACGAACGAATCAGCCTCCAGGCGGCGTTGAGCAACCAAGGCAGTTCGTAGACGAGCACGTGAGACAAACACAGGGGATAATAACTAGTGAACGTGTTTATCAGAAACTTAATCATTTCCGTATCTAAATTGGACAGTCCGCAATCTCTGAAGTCGAAGAGGATAGTCACTCGCCCGTTATCCGAATGTTTATCCGCGATTTCTAACCAGTAAACTACGAATTTCTTGGTGGTTTCTTCCATTCCGGGCGTCTTTTTGTAGTCTTTACCCTTAACGACGAGAATGGCGTCGTCCCCGTTTTTATACGAGACGACGGCGTTTGTAGAGAAGTAGATGGGAGGAATGCTTTCTCTGGTGATCTTGTCGACGCCGAACTCTTTCCTCCATGCCAGAGTGGCCTTGATCATGTCGATCGCGTCGCGTATTTTTCTCTTCTTAAACAACAAGAACCTTAACGCCAAGCGATCTTCTTCTAAAATACGTCGTACGTCGCTTTCGTTGTACTTAGGGACGTTAGTTTTTACATCTTCCACCAAAATTCTACGTATTTCTTTTATGTCTTCTTTAAATTCAGTTAAACTTTCTTCCGTAATGTACATTTTAGATAATTACGACGAGGAAAAACTACCTACTTCGCGTGGCCAACTTCGTTAAGTGTTGCCAGATGATTCTTTTAATTTATATTTTATTAATAAAATAATTGCGTGCATTAAAATTATATAATATTAAATATTAATAAACAAATAAATAATGTATATATGTATAAAGCTCGGATAAATAAATTATCTAAAACATAAAATATTTACATTATTTTAAACGTGTTAAAATACTGTATATTACGAAGTGTAAAAATTTGAATTTATACAGAAGTAATTACAATTTTATGCTTATGTGTATTAATAATTTAAAATATAATTAATTTTATTCGAACAAATTAAATTTTATGTAAATTCTAAATACTCTCGTCGATAAAAAGTTACGCAAAACCGGCTCGCGGTATTAGCGTTTCCGATTGGCTTCTTACGCGTAGCCGCCAACGCTACGCTTATGGAATAATGTTCTACGTCTTCGCCGCCGAACGTTCGCCGTTTTCGCTGGAAACTTGTAAACTAGACTCGAAGTTTTAAATATTTACTCTAAGGCTAAGCGAACTTGAGCGGATTGGGACTTCTCCGTCCTCTATCCAATAGTAATCGCCAAGTCTTAAGAGCGCACGCGTTTGAAAACATCTCATATTTGTATCTAGCGATAGGTTTCTGGAAAATAAACAAATTCCCGAGAAAATTGATCTCCGAGATACTTTTGACGAGCTCGGTAAATAAATTTAGATATCGGTACTAATTCTTCGGTGCGTAGGAAATGACGTAATGCAACAAAAAATTCCCGAACGATTAGTGCTAATGTGGAAAAGATACTCTTACAAGATCTCGCGACTACAAAAAATTATAATGTACGTTATTTATATAACATTCGCATCGATTTCGATTTTGTGCGATAATTCTTCGTCCGTAAGTAAAGAAAATTTGTACCGTTCATAGCAAAAGTAATAACACGTAGTAGCGGCTGTATTGTTGCACTGATGGAGAACCGGGAACAGGTATATTTCTTGTAAGTGAACTGTATTACAGTGCGCTTAAAAGAAATATTACACCTGTCCCTCACCGATTTTGATGAATTTTGCGCAAAGATAGTGTTTGATGTGATAATGTAATCAGCCAAATCGTCTTATTCTACTGGCCAAAATAAGCGAGTTATTGAAGTCTAAAATTAAGTTATCCATCCGCGTAGTCTGCTGTCATTGGCTAATTTGTAGAGGTTTCATTTTACTACAAACTTCCATATTGGCCACGGGTTTTTTTATACTCTTTCCACCCTGTGGGAACTAAGAGGGCCTCTTATAGCAGGCCCATTATGGGTTCGGCCAGGCCCACAATGGTGCGACCGGGTCCGACATATCCTAACGGAACACCCCCGAAGAATTCCTGGGGATTCCTTGACCCGACCGGATTCGGTCCCAGGTCCCCCAGAGCGGTAGGCTGCCACCTTGACCGCTCGGCCATCTGGCCTATTTTGTCCATGGTGGGAAGAGTTATAATCGCAATTGGATTTCGTCGAACTTATCAAAACATAATTGCTTATAAGAGTCAATTGTAAAAGTAGTTGCATACAATTTTTTGAAAAAATACAAAATGATCTTTTCTCCTCGTGGGTACTAAGAGAGTCGTTTTCCATTGTGGATTCGGCAGGCCTATAATAAGAGGAGGAGAACTTTAAATTGTCATAGACACTTCAGATTTTTTTTAATTGTCAGGTAATTTACATATCTGTTCTGTAGTGTTTGGCAAATCATCACGGAAAGATTTACAGTTTCTCAATGTGTTGAAATTATTTATTATCAAAACCCACGATATGATTGCACTGTTGAAGTCGAAGTTTAGTGACAAGATTATTTCGAGAAAGGCAGCTGTTAACTGCCCACGCGATTTTGTGACTTGAATCCGATGGATTACTTTTTATGGGTTCACTTTAAATCCCTTGTTTAGTTCACTAATTGTTGACTACCTTAAAGCGAACATCATTCAGCTTGATTTAAGTGCCATAGTCATCGAAAATTGGGTTAATCGTTTTTACTCTGTCAAATATAATTATGAAGACCATTTAAATGATATTGTTTTTCATATGTAATGTCACCGAAAATACTATAAAATAAAGCAATTAGCCTCTTATTATTATTTTTTTTTGTACTTTTCATTTTATTTCAATTCAAAGTTTGATAAAATAAATTGAAAACTACAAAACTGCCTTTACTCTACCTCCTACGGAGTAGGAGGAGGTAGAGTAAAGGGAGCGAAGAGAGGAGAAGACTAAAGCGAATGGAGGTTAGTCCGAGGGAATTGATTCCTCGCGACGCGTCGCAACGATTTCGTTGTCGAACGTCGCGTCGCGTCGCAACGTAATCGAACGTCGCGACGTAATCGCAACGCAATTGAACGTCGCGTCGCGTCGCAACGATTCAACCCGTCGCGACGGGTTGAATCGTTGCGAAATTTTTGTTATGAACGATTTACATTGGGAATAAGTTGGCCAATCTCATGGATCGAGCGGGCAAAGCGAACCATTTCACCATGAAATTAAAACGTTTTTCTTCTGGAAGTCCAAAAAAAATTGTCCCAGCCTTCCTACCTCCGTTCGCTTCATTCCCTTCTCGGACCAACCCTCTGACACCGTTTCCTTCGCTCAACCCAACTCCCGCTGTCTTTAATGAATGCCCCATTTGCTTGGCTCTCTTCTAGGGCCAACCCGTCTCACTTCTTCTTAGGGCCATCCTTCCTTACTTTGTTCAACCCCCCCGCTCACTTCGCTTAACTGTTCAAAAAATTTCGTGACGATTCATCAAATTCCTGATACTAGCTTGTTATTATTAAAATAACGTTATAATATTTCTTTAATTTTTATGAATTAAAATAATTTATTAATAAATTTTGATTTATTTTAAAAACGAAACGATTAGAGAAAGAAATTTTTTCAATTCATACCTTCATGACGTGACGACGTAAGATTTTCTACAGATGGCACTACAGTTGGTGTGAATGCGGGAGATTGTTCTGTTCGAAATTGTTGGTTTAGGTGAGTCGTAATTATTTTTAAACGTTATAAAAATGAAAATAAAACGCAATTTTTGTTATTACAATTCAAATATTATTTCAATTATTATAAACTTTATACGCAATGTTTTTGTATAACAAACAACTGTGGCAATTGTCTGCACAAACGACATGTTAGGCTTAGTCATTCCAAAATGATTTTACGTTTTTCGAAGGGGAAAAAAAACTAAAACAGTTCAAAATTTAAATATTTTAATTGATTATATTATTTTCGTAAGTCATTTAAAATATTTAAATATTAATTTTTTAAGAATTGTACAAATTATTATTATTATTATTATTAGTGCGTGCCAATGACATTCGCCGTTTCTCATTGTTCTTTATGGGAATTCTTTAAAAGGAATTGTCTTTAAGAAATCGATTAATTATTTAAAATAACGCGAAACACGTTTTTCCCAATGATGAGAACGGATAAAAGTTTATTTTCTTGATTGATTTTGAAATGAAATTATGATTTTATCAATGAAATTGCCTTAAGGATCTGTTATTAATTATATTTTTTTATTTAAAATGATTTATTATAAAAAGAATTAAATAGAGCTTTTTGAATAATGCATTTTGAAAGCTGTTAATGTTTCATTAATCCAATTTTAAGTTTGTGTTTATATTTAGAATTGTGATCTACTCTGATGATGATAGATTTATATGCATTTAAATAATAAATTTGAACAAAACTTGCAAGTTATTGTCTCGAATTGTGTTAAAGGTTTATTCTTTTAGTAATTTCTGACTAAATGTAATTGGAAATGTGCAAAAAGATGTTTTTTAATAAAAAATTATTTGATTCTGATGTAATTAGATGGTTATTGAGGTTGAAAATCACAGTAAAAAAATTGAAAATATACTAGTTAAGGCATAAAAATTAAATGTGTAATAAAAATTGTGATTGAAAACACAATTTCATTGGTTTGATGTTGCTAACTGTGTGATATTTTCTTCTACTGTTTAGTGATGTGTATTTACTCTTTTATTATCGGACTGCAGTTTTCAGATTGCAGACCTACACATTCTCACTGTCATCCCTCCCTCTGTCTTTCATTAATTTCAAGAATGGAATTAGATGAAAATTGAGACTGGCTATGGAAAGATTAGGGGTCAGAGGCTCTGATTAACTTCCGGTCTGGACTGGAAGTTACATGAATTTTTTAATTAAAACTTGCGGCTTGGCATTGTTAGTGTTACAATAATATATGTTCAATTTGTATTATAAAGTTAGTTTCCATTCAAAATAACTGAAGATTGCTTTAAAAAGGCGTAATCTGGCAACTTATTTTACTTGCACTTGTGGATTTGTGATTGCAACATTTAAAAAAAAAAAAAAAAAATTTTGCTGCTGTGGAAATTTTTGGAGGTAAGATGGAATGGAAATTACTGCTGATGTCATTCAAACATTTTAATTCAGGAAAACAGCAATGGTATCAAATCTCATTTCTAATTCTCTCATAAATTTATACCAGTATGTTTTAAGATATTGCAAATTTCATCAGCATGCTTCACAAACTGGTATTCAATATTTCATTAAAGCAATTTTAAATGTTTATCAGCAAAGTTTATTTTTAATTAAACATTTTTGGCTGTCAAAGCAACTATTTTCAGGATATAAGCAAATAGAAAATATTCTGTTGTATCATGAAAATGGCTGCTTAGACAGCCAAAAATATTCAGTTAATAATTTTGCTGGTAAAGGTTTAAAAGTGATTTAATGAAAGTTTTATTATGTAATTATTAAAGTAGCTGGACGGAAATTTGCAAAAATTTCATAATGTAAAACAAGCAATTATTTATTGTGACATCGTAACAATGCTGGGCTGCAATTTTTAATCATGTTTTTAAGTTAGTCAATTTAAAATATATGCTCTGCACCTCAAATTAGTAGTGGCTTGCCCCTGTATATCATACTTTTCCTTTAGCAATAGTTGTGCTGGTCTATTAACTGCTTTTAGAGGAAAAGTTTTGAATTGAAATAACTGACTTCCCATTTTCATCAGAAATTCATAGATAGTTAATCAGAGCCTCCTGCCCCTAAGGTTTCCATATCTGTTCTTGGATTTCATCTACCTAACTCCATTCTCGAGATTAAGGAAAGACTGATGAATGGATGACAGTGAGAATTTATAGGTCTACTATTTTTTCAAATTGCAGCCAACAATATTTTTAAATCAAATTCTTACATAGGCATAAAATGTTAGTAATATGGGAACTGAAAAGATAGTAGTGGCAACACCATTGCCACACTCCATAAGGACAAGTTGATTCCTGGAATTTGATGGAAAAGGCATAGCTGTTCAACATAGCTAGTGGTGTTTGTGTAGGGCATGTAGATTGGCAGGTTTGAAGCAGGTTTGAATTTTAAATATGTAAAATATTCAAAAACGGTACATTCTATTTTGGAACATTTATAATATTAAACCTGGTGATGGCCCATATTAGATAGAATGAAAACATTTGTAAAAATAAAAGAATTTTAAGCTCAGCAAAATTAGGTGATGGTGAAACTGAACTGTTAACTTCAGTTTTATTTCCCACTTTTTTCGCAGTAATTTATTTTTTGGGAATGTGCGCATATGTACTAAGTTTGATGAACCTTTAGACTTACATCCAAATTCACAACAATGCTTATTATTTACCATTGTAGGTTGAACACTTTTTAATTCTAACAGACCACAGACTTTATATCCATAGCAGCTGCCATTACATAGTTTGCGCTAATACTGCTAGATGTCAGTCTATCGTTGGCACAAACGAATTGACCTCAACCTGGTTTGGATGCCATTCTAAGACCATTGTTCTGACATCATCCCATTTCAAAAAAAATGTTTAATGGCAGATATCAACATTAATTCTCTTTTTCAGAAAAAAAACATATCTTGTCGAGTTTCTTGGTGTTCTTCACTTGAGTTTTTGGTTCTTCTGTCATCAGATCTGTTTCAGATTCCATTATGAGCTCTTCAGTTTTCTTTGTTTCTCAGATGTGATTTTTGTTACTCCTTAAGCTGCTTGAGTCTTCTTGATTATACAGTATCTTTCTTAGATAAGATTGAACTGTGGCCTATTGTAGACCTGTTCAAGCCATACTGCCAAGCAACATCAGACATCTTCTGCTCACTCTTTACCTTTGCTATTATACTCTCACCTTTCGAAAATAAAAACCCACTCTCGCAAATACTATAAAAAAATTGTTTGTCAGAAAAATTAAAGGCCGGAATTACAAGGGAGAGTTTCAAAGTTTGGAGGAATATTATCTGATCAGTATATACTGGGTTGAGCGTTGATGTCGACATCTCCTGTGCTCCAAAAAGTTTCGAATTGTTGTCCTAAGACAAGAGGGTTGGAGAGACATACTAGGGTTATTACATCTGATGACGTTATAATTGGGTTAAACTGTGTTTTGAATCAGATGTTGCTTGATTTGTCAATTTTACAAATACTTTTGAGTAGTAAACCAGTTCTGGAAACTTTTTGAAGGTACTTTGTAGATTATATACTATCAGGTAATCAAATAATTTCATTTTTTGAAATGTAAATAAAATACTTGGTTTTTTTTTGTTTAAAATAATTTTATTCCTCAAAATATTCACCTTTTACATTCAATTACACTTTCTCAACAAGAGGACAGTTTGAAAATACAATTTTTATAAATGATTTGAATGACTTCCAAAATAATCTTTGTTTGGTAGACTTTGATGGGCATTGTTCATCATGAGTGTTGGTGAAACACAGTAGATTTATACAGTGAGCAACTAAAAAGAAGAGTACATGACAAATTAAGGCTAAAACAGCCACAAGTAAAAGCATTTTTATTCACATTTGAAGAATGACATTATTTATTTGGTTACCTGATATTTTAATATTAAAAAAAGAAAATGTATAAGAATGATGGTTTTACATTGGTATTTGTCTTCTCTGTTCAAGATCAGTCCCCTTTGCCACCTGGTGATCTTTTTTAATTTATTGGTTATTTGGTTTCAGTTTTGATTTGTGCAGTTCAGGTAATTGTGTATATGCTTTGTCTATATTGATCATTTGTTTCTTATAATAATAACTCTCACATTATCAGATACTTAAAACTATAAGGAATGAAGTTACATCTCTTTGATGAAATTAAACTGTTGTATGATAGTTCTATAGTATTTTTGTGTGTTCATTGTTTTAGTATTAACCTGACCTATGTTGATCCCGAAAATATTTGTGTTGACCTCATTGACCTGTGTGGGCCGAATATTTCCGTGTTTACATTGGAACGTTTTTGATACTAGATGTCGCTTTGTGTCATAATTTTTATATTAAAACGAACTTTTAAAATAAAATTTTTTCCATTTTTATATTATTCAATATATTTTGTTTGTGAAACATAAAAAAATAATTTTTTACTATACAGTAAACACGATTATTTAAAAAAAAAAATTTAGGTTTTTGACAAAAATTCAACATGGCGTCACAGGCAACAAATAAAAATTTCAACATCGAATAGGTTAATCTTATTGTACCCAGTGGTGATATTCAGCAGGTTCGCACTGGTTCGGCCGAACCCGTTGTTAACATTTTCAAAGTTTTCCGAACCTTGTTAAACATGTAACATTTCTCAGTGGTTTTGTTTCTTTTAAAAATAAATTAAAATATGCCGTATGTATTATACTCTGTAACACTACTAAACTAGAGCCTTATACACTGTTTGCCTTGGTGCAACCTCCCTCGACCGAAGTGATCGACTCGAGAGTTCTTGAAACTAGATCCAGTCATAAGAGAGATCCCACAATCCCACATGCATGAGAAAATACAAGATGGCTGTGGAACACATGTCGTGATAAAATATGTACAAAATAAACCATTTTAAACACACTTTTTTATTATTTATAAAAATATATATATAGTTCTGGCATAAACAATGTTAAATTTTAACTGACTTAATTTTGCGAACGCATATTTTTCATTTATATCTTAAAGTCAGTTTTTGCACTAATGTTGCTAATGCACCATTTGAGTGAAAAAAAAATTGTTAAGGAAAAATTTTGTTGGTGAACCCTTTGCTAAATATTTCGAATATCACCACTGATTGTACCAGTATTTAGAAATAAGAATTAGTCTTATGTAGGTAGGTATTTCACAACATGAGTTTTTTCAGTTACTTTTTCAGGTTAAACATATGTCCAAGTGAGTTTTATCAACAGTGAAATGCCTAAAAGAAAGATACAATTGTCACAAAATACATCCTCTTTGTTAATACATCTGTGTTGAGGGCAAGCAAATTTCAAAGTAAAAAATCTAGTGCCAATGCTTGCAGTTCCTTGCAAGCCAGTATTCAAACAAAACTGGCCCACATGAGGGAATCTGGTATTGAACACTTGCATCATCTCATAAGCCAATCTCTCCTACAGACTCCCAAACCCTTTCATTGATTTAGACCAAATTCTACATAGTGAAACATGCAGAA